TGGATGCCACAGAAAGTAAGAACATGGCCTTCCACTCAGCTGGGCTGTCCACTACGGACTTTCTTTGAAGGGAGTCTTGCAATACAAGAAGCAAATGGAAAATTATACAAGCTGATTTTGCTAAAGCAAAAGCAGTAGAATTTTAAGGGACTGCTTTTCATAGTAATATTTTGGGGGTCAAGTAGACAATTTCTCCCAAGGGTTATATCTGCCGGAAATAATTCAGGAATAAGTAAATTATGCTTTTTCTAAATCTTTCTTTTGCAGCTTCTACTCTGAAATGACCATTTCCAATGATAGAAAATCAAGGAAAGTTCAGAGCCTTTAAAAAGGGAGAGGTCGTGTGCATGTGTCTGTTGGGGCAGGAGCAGGGAATGGAGTACTGAAAAACCTAAGTAAGAGCAAGATTGTTTTACTAGGTTTGTGGTCCACATTAGAGACCTTGTGTTTCTTCACAAAGGTTTAAATATGAGATTCAGTCAGAGTCCAGGAGAACCATGGATAGAGCTTGTGATTAACTGAGGACCAGCTCAGAAGTCCTATTCCATATCATTCTGCAATCAGCTCGGATTGTCATTTCCTCTTCCCTGACATTCTCAGTCACTCTGGACCGTGGCTTTCAGTCCCACGCTGGACTCTTCCTTCTGAACCTTGACTCTTTTCTCTCTTATTCCCACCTGCAAGATACTGCAGAGTATAATGGAAAACACTTTGTCCTTAGAGTACATAACACTGGCTTTGTCCTTAGAGTACGCAACGCTCCTATCGTTTCCCAGCAGAGCCAGGTAGCTTTGGGGGAGGGGTAATTACCTTTTCTGTGCTTCTGTTTCTTCTTCTAAGAAATGCAGGCAGTCTGCTGTTTCTCACAAAGATTCATTATAATGGACCTAAAGGACTGGCACATAAACCATCCAACTGGAGGGTAATGTGACCCTCCAGTAAATGTAGCCCACATTATCCAGACTGCTGTTCTGGCCTAACTTGTGTGTGTGTATGTTTGACTTTGTATATGGATTAAGTCTAAGTAAGTGAATGAATAACCTGGGGATTCTCTTTCTTATGTCAACATTCCTTCTCTCTCCATATATGCTGATGGGTCTGTAGGCCTTTTAAGGATAAATAGTCCTGTTAAATGTTAAAGATGAGGTTAATAAAAATGGCTGTCTAACTGTTCTCGAAGGACCAACAGGATGAGAGCAAATTTCAGCTTAGTTTGATACCAGCTTTGTAGTCCAAGGCAGGAAGTTGTAAAAACACAGAGAGCCAATGAAAACACCAAAGGCATCACACCACCACATGGACCTTTGATTTGCAGATTGCATTCAGACAGCACCTCTCAGTCTCCTTAACCCCTTGTTGTCATTTTCCTGCACTGTAGATGGAGCTAAATTCACCCACTCATGAACCCGGAGAAGAATTTCCCTTTATGTCTTCAAATCATAAATGTTATCTGTTCTCAAAGAGGTCAGCATTTCCAACAGGAAATTGTTGCTGATATAATAGAAAAGAACCACCCAGAGGCTGTGCCATTTAAAAGTCAATGCTAAGTGATGTAGTTTTAAAGAAAGATTCAGAGAATATTGCCAACATTTGTATTTCATATTCCTTGTGAAATTGCTTTCAATCCTGTCTCACTTAGGTCTCTGTACAGTAAAGATTTCTGGGTTGCTATGGAAAATATGCACTGAAACTGACTGCTATGGAAACTAGTCACATATGGTGGAGAGGCATAATATGGTACAGGATTTGCATAGCTAATTTGAGCATGTTAGTGAACAGCACAATCTGTGCATAGGAGACTAAGTATTCTGAAGCTTTTTTATTTTATTGTGCACACAAAAGCATTAAGTACTAGTCTCTGTTTTTATTTTGTAGATTGTTGAATCCTCTCTGATTTCAGTTATCAGTCCATTCAATATGTGACCATAAATGTGTGAAATTGTTTGTGTTTGTGGACTTAACACAGTTGAATCAATTTCATTATTTCATAGTTTACTTTATTTGGGATTGCAAGTCTCAAGATTTTTTTTTTTTTTCACAACATGAGAAAATAGGGGGTAAGCTTCCATTAGCTTCTCATCACTTAATACAACTCAACTGAACGAGTTTTTATTTGAGGTGCTCCTTGTCTGATGATGCTACTCCTGTCATCATTGCCCGCAATGCTTTTGTCTGTATCTGAACCTTGAAGAGGGACTGATGGCTTGAAGACAGGGAATAACTGGGAATGGAAACAGACTCAGTTCTGGTGCTTTCTTGAGCCTGTCATGACTTTTTGTTCCCCATTTTAGCTTCCCAATATACTGTCCCTAGCTCAATTAAAACGTATCCATAGTGTTCTGAAATTGACAGTTTAAAAAAATGTCTCTCCTGTGGATTGTGAGTTCCATTAAAAGAGGACTCTGTCAATTTTATGTCTTCCTCGTCTGGCATAGTTCCTACCAGAGAGTAGATGTGCAGCACATATTTTTTAAATGAATAAATGCAGGAGAAAATATAATGTATATCAGTGATATATCTACAAATAATCTTTAGAGGTAAAATGCTTTTCAGAAGCACTCCTATTTTTCACTTTTTAATAGTCTTCCTTGTAAAATTATCTGAGAATTGATAAACGGCCTAATTGTCTTTGTTGCTCCACTCTCATCCTGATGTTATTTTCCATAGCCTTTTACATCATAGGAGAAAAGGAATATAGGCTGAATAAAATTACACTTGCTTCCCTTCCCTTCTTTAGCACCCTGTGTCCAAAGGTTGTTATCACCTTGGTGAAGACAAGATGCACCTGCATTCACATGCGGTCCTCACCACACTTTCCCATTTCCCTCGCTGAGCATAGCACGGGTAGGTGAAGCCATTCACCTACCATTCACCTCATGCAGAGGGAGGGGCCAGGTGTCCATTCACTCCTCTCTCATTCACTCCCTTGAGCACACATACACACCCCTCCCACACAGGCACATATATGTACCGCACACATCAGCTGGTTGAATCATCTGCAAGATAGAGGATGGGGTAGAATTTGGGGGGGTTGGAGCTGACAGGAAGAGAACATATTTTAAAACTGTGACCTCAGCAAACTAAACTTGTTCTTAGGTAATTGTACACTCACATGCAGTTGTGGTAAGTATCACAGAGCAGACGTATCCAGAGGGGGAGGGCTGACAACAAAGAGGGAGGGAAGCACAATAGTTGACCACAGTGGTAGTGGGCTAAGCAGAAATTGGTGGTAAGTTGCGTAAGTTGATGGCAACTGAGGCAGGGAATCCTATTTTTCCAAATTACCAACAATAATGTAAGCCAATGTTACTTCAATTAAAACAAACAAAAAAAAAAAAAAAGGAAAAATAAACAACACAGAGAGATCTGGTATACTCTTTGTCCAGTTTCCCCCTAATGGCAAGATCTTGCAAAACTTCAGCATATCACAACAAAATACTGATGTTGAAAAAGGATAAGAACACCTCTATCCCATAAGTGTCCCAGATTGTTACCCTTTCAGAGTCACATCCATTTCCCTACCCCAATCTCTCCTTCATCCCTGGCAACTGCTAATCTGTTCTCCATTTCTGTAATTTTTTCATTTTAAAATATCATGTCATACATTTACATTTTTTTAACTAGGCATATTATACTGAGTGAGTAGCATTTCATGGTATGGACTTACTATGGGTTGTTTATTCATGCATGGGCTATTTTCACCTTTTCATTTGGGGCTTTTATGAATAAAACTATTTGAGGATGAGTTTTTATTTCTCTAAGAAAAAAGTCTAAGTGAGCAACTGCCAGGTTGAGTGATAGTCACATTTTAGTTTAAGAAACTGCCAAATTGTTTTCCAAGATGGTGCCATTTTACGTTCCCAACAGTCATGTGCATCTGCCTGTTTCTTGTTTCTGTATCCTAATAAGTATTTGGTGTTGTCACTATTTTTTACTTTAACTGTTTGGTGTATTGTGATATCTCATTGTCATTTTAATTTGCATTTCCATAATTCCTTGTAATATTCATTAACTTTTCATGTGGTTATTTTGCGATCTATACATCCTCTTTGGTGAAGTGTCCCTTCATAATTTTTGAAATTCACATTTTTGTCTCTGGATTGTTCAGATGCTACAGCATTATTTGTCACAGGGGCTATCTTTCCCCTTGGAATCACCTTTATAACTTTATAAAAAGTCAGTTGGCCAGTTCTTGTCCCATTGGTCTGTGAGTCTGTCCTTCCTCAAATCCCTCATATTTAGTAATTGTAGTTACATAATGTCTTATAATCAAATAGACTGTTTTCTTCTAATTTGCTATTTTCTAAAACTGTTCTAATTATTTCAGTTATTTTGTCTTTTATATAAATTTTAGAATAAACTTGTCTATAAGTAGCAAAATTCTTACTGGAAAATTAATAGGAATTATGTTAAATATATGTACACATCCATATATATATATATATATATATATATGTGTATCTATATAATTTAGGGATAAAAAGTTAACATTTAGGGATAATTACTATTTGAGTTTGCCAATCCATGGACATAGTATGTCTACATATTTGGAACTTCTTTGATTTAACTTCATCAATGTTTTATAGTTTCAGGCATATAAGTAACACATTTTATTAAATTTACACCCAAGTTTACCTTTTTAAGAATTGTAAATTGTGTTGTATTTTTACTTTTAGTGTCCCATGTTTTATTGCTTTTGTTAAATTCTATTTTCTAATATTTTTAAAGTACTTTTTTTCTGGTCTAAATACATGAGGGATATTGATCAGTAGTTTTCTCTTTTGTTTTGTCTAGAGTGTGGTATTTGAGTAGTATTGAACATAATTGGGAAATGTTCTCTCTTCTATTTTCTGTAAGATAATATATTATTTCTTTTTGAGCATTTGATAGAATACTTCTATGAAACCATCTGGACCTGGAGATTTCTTTATTGGAAATTTTTTAAATTATAAGTTTACATTCCTTAATAGTTATATAGCTATTCAAATGATCTATTTCACATCTTCTGTAGATCATAAATGTTATGATTAAATGTCCACACCATTGTGTGAGATGTGTCTCCCTCAAGTCTTATTACAGTTAGCACACTACCTGTTTGATGAGGATAAATGGGGTGGGATAAAGGAAAGAAATGTTTCTTTGATATTGGGTTGGTTATGATAATTTGTGTCACTTTCTAGGAATTGGCTCATTTCCATTGTTTTCAAATGTATGTGTGTTTGTTTTATTCATTTATCATAACTTTTGGTGTCTGTAGTATCTATAATAATAAGACATTTAATTTCTAATATTATGTACACTTTTTTCCTTTGTTAGTATTGCTAGAAGTTTTTCAGTTGTTTTATTTTTTTTTTATTAAGGTAACATCAGTTTATGACACTGTGTGTGATTTGAAATAGAGGATCTCATCTCTGTGGATATATACTACACTACCACAACCACCACCAAAGCAACCGTAGTCCTCTACCATAGTCCATTGTGCCCCTAGCTCTCCTCCTTACACCCTCTCTCTGGTAGCCTCAGATTTACAATCATATTTCTAATATTTGGTTTGGTTTTATCTGACTCTTTGATTTATTTCTCTATATTCCACATATGAGTGAAACTGAGTTTTGTTCGTTTTATTAATATTTTCAAAGTCTGTTGTTTCATTGATTTAATCTATTAATTATCAATTTTAAATTACATTGACTTGTTTTCCTATCTTTATTATGTCTTTCCTTTTGCTTGCTTTGATCTCATACTTTGGTTAGACTGAATAAAGTTTAAAAATTTCATCTACAATGATATACTTTTATTCTTCCCTAGTTATAATTTTCTTAAATATGTCCTTTACATTCATTTAAAATCACATCTGATACATAGTTGTTTTCCATCATCAAATATAATTTATGATACACCAAAGAAAAAGGAAAATCAACTGTATTCGCCCCACACATTTTTCTTCCCATTTTATTTCTTCTTTATTGGTGTTCAAAATTTCCTTTTTCTATCACCTTATTTCCATTTAAACATCTTTCTTTGGATTTTTTTTTTTTTTAGGGTAAGTCTGCAGGTGAGAACTCTTAGTTTTCCTTTATCTGAGAATGTATTGATGTTCTCTTAGTTCTAGGAGAATTTCCACTGGGTTTAGTGTTATGAATTTCCATTGGGATTAGTATATTGACAGTTTTCTTTCAACACTTGTGAGCTGTTGTGTTTCTTCTCTTACAACCTCCAGATGGATTTCTGATGAGAATTGCTTAGTTATTCACATAGATTGTCTCCTGCAGATGAAATGTCATTTCCCTCTTGCTGATTTTACAAATATTTTTGTGTCTGTAGTTTTCATCAGATTGACTATGACACATCTTAGTGTAGATTCTTTTATCTTGTTTGGGTTTTGCTCAGCATCTTGAATCTGCAGGTTTATATGTGTTTGTGTTTATCAAATCTGGGGAGTTTTCAGTCACTGTTTCTTTTCAAAACTGTACTTTTCAGAGCTACTCACTTTCTCCTTTCCTTCTGGAACTGTGATGACTCAAAATTTAGATCTTTTGTGATAGTCCCACATATCCCCGGGGTTCTTTTCAATTGGGGGATCATTTATCTCTTCTGTATTTTACATAATTTTATTTTCTACCTCACTGATTCCTTCCTTAATCCCCTCCATTCTCTCATTAAACCTATCCATTAAGATTTTTAGTTCAATTACTGTATTTTTTCTCATATGAAATTCTTGTTTTGTTCTTGCTTTATTTACTTATTGATACTTTCTATTTAACCATTCGTTTCAGGTATGTTCATAACTGCTCACTAAGGGATTTTTACGATCTCTGCTTTAAAATCATTGTAGAATTATTTTAACATTTCTGTCATATTGGTGTTGGGATCCATTGTCTTTTTTCTTTCGGCTTTATATCTTCCTAGTTTTCAGCATGATGAATGGTCTTCTATTGTGTCTTAACATTTGAGGCGGGAGAAGTGGAGGGGATAGTGCCACTGGGGCATTATTGCCAAATGGGGACAAAAGTTCAGGTTTCCTACTCAGTCTCTATTGATACTAAGAAGGCAAGGTTTCTCATTATTGTTTGGTGGAAGTGGAGACTTCAGCTCCCCTCTAGGTGCACCTCCCTGACTTGAAGAAGTTGGAGTAGATTTTCTCTGATGCCATCCCAAGAGTGGGTTGGGAAATTCATTATAGACTAATGCTGGTAGAAGTCTAGGCTCACCACTTGATCTTTGCTGGCTTGAGTAGATTTAGTGTCATAGTGTTGTGTGAGTATGTGGGCATGTGTGTTTGACAGGAGAGTGATTATAATCTAAGAATTTTCTGTCTTTCTAGGCTGTCTTCATGACTAATTGAATAGAGAGGGCAGACATTTTGTTTTCTTGCAAGTGTTCCTGATGTTTTCTGGCTTCTTTAGCTCCAGCTAAAGAAAATATAGAGAACTGGTTGTTCCTTGAGTTTCTAGCTCTTTAGCTGGTCTGCTTTCTTTACTCCACATTTAACTAGAGTGTTCTTATTGTATATATTACTCTCAAGGTTTCTAGTTGTTTTTAGTGGGAGTTGAAAATGCACTCTTATTTCATCATCCCAGAAGTAGAAATATGGGTTTACCTTTTATTATTTGCTTAGCTCATGGCATTTGGAAACAGGCATTTTCCTGTAATCTGGGACATTATTGTCACTACTATTTGAGAGATATCATTACAAACTACAAAATTTGATTGGCAATGTCACTATAAACATAAAATTGGCAGCAGTCACAGGCTGAATACCATGGCTGGCAGTCTTGCCCTAAGTACAGGCATGTGTGACAAAGACTTAGTCACTGGGAAATAATAATCTGTCTCATCATAATAATATTTACCCTGTTTATACCAGTTTATTATTATTCTTACTAATAGCAATAACTGAAAAAATAATAATTGTTACCATAGTTGAGTGCCTGTTTCAATCTGCTTAGAGTACTTCATGTAATCTTCACATATCAATCACTTTTATATGCTGGTGTGTGTGTGTATGTGAACTTATTTAGTATACACTATTAGTCTCTGTTCCAGGAACTACTTTATAAAGGAGAACAAGGTAACCTAAGTCCATGCTCTTATGGAGAAATAAACAACATATAAGAAAATAGAGTAAACAAGATATCAGAGAAAGAAATACCTAAAGGATTGAATAAAATCTGAAGGTATGGCAGAGAGTGCCTGGGGTGCTGGGGATAATTTAGGGGGTGGCAGGAAAGACCTGCTCTATGCTAGTGTTTTGCCAGAGCAGCAGAACATTGCCGAGGTAGTGCCCTTAATGCTTACTTAAAATATTAAATGTAAAGACTAAAAGCATAGACATATCCTCAAAAAGGCAGCCTCTTGCTTTTTTATTAGAATCATTGTTTCATTTCAGATGTTTCATAGGTTAGTGGTGAAGTCTAAGGTACAAAATGTTTAGAACCCTGAATTTCCATCATTGCCTGCTCATGTGCTCTCTGGGTGGGATCACGCTGGTCAAACATGTAGCTGTTTTGCCAAGACCCTCATATCAAAACCCAAGTAAGTATATGATTCATAGCATTAGAGAATTTATTTTCTAGTGCTTTCATCTATCTGTTCATGATCTCTCTCTTCTGTAAAGAAAAAAAAATGAAACAGTTTCTGTGAAGAAGAAATAAAATAAGCTTGAGTGGTAAGCTTATGGAATGGTTTTTGCTATATCCTCATCTTCACAATGATTAGTTACTACTAAAAATAAAATAAATTAACTGTTCTTTATTATGGATTGGCTATGTGCTATACATGAATTATGCATTTTGTGTGTATTTCATTTACTCACTACAACTTTATTAGGCCAGGCTTTGTTCAAAGCTCTGCTTATAAATGTAGGGGTACAGGACTTAGAATAAAATGTTTCCCTGTTTGCTTTTACTCAGCCCAGAACAATGATGTGTTCCCTGCCCATTTCAGTGTCTGAGGTCTGACCATTATTGTCTGCCCCACCTATGGCTTCTTCGCTGACTTGATTCCAGTTGGTTTTGGTCCGGGTATAGCCCCAGCAAGGAATCAAAAGGAAAAACAAGAAAAAGATTAGGATTTTTTTTTTCTCTCTTCTTGCTGTAGTTTGATTGTGTTTGGTCATGTCATGATTGTGGCTCCTGCCAGGCAACGCTTCTGTGAAGACTTTCCTGTCCTCGGGCTCTGATTGCCTTTCCCCTCTGCCCTAAGACCCAGGGGTAATGAATGAAGACTTTTTGCTCCTGCTCTGAGTGCTGTGTGCCTTGTTTATTTCATGTTGGTTCTCTTAACTCTGCCCATATCTCCCTTCATTATCTTCAGAATCCCATCTAATTGAATTTTATTTTCTTGAGAGTCCTAGAGACCCAGAACAATCATGCAGTCATGCTGCACAGTTACTTCATGGTAAACCAGGACTTCCCAAGATTCAAATTTTGGTCTTCCTGATTCCATAGTTTATGCTTTTTCCACTAAAATTAAGGTCTGCTCCCCATTCTCAAAATATTAAACTAAAGTTATGGAAAGAGTTAATAATTTACCTAAAATGACTAATATTAACTCAATATTTGTTTATAATAACTGTTTTTTTTAGAAATGTGTACTCTACAGATGCAGAAAATCTCTATGTACAGATGTTACAAACTATATGCAGAAAGCTTGCATATACAGCTGGAAAATCTTTTGGTGTATTCTCTGCCAAATTTGTCTATAATTAGGAAGTTTCTGAGTGTTGTGGCTGCTCAATGTGGTAGTTTCAATTTAATTACATTTTATGGGGTCTGTGATCACTGTATTATAGTGAATATTTTAAAATTTAAGTATTTTATAGTTATGTCTTATAATAATCACAATACCTCTTTTCACTGTGGGCATTAATATAAGATAATTGACCTTGGCTCCCATAATTTGCTTTTAGCTTAGGGATTCAGTTTCCATCATGGACAATTATCTCCAGTAATTCCAACAACAAAAGCCACTATTGCTTAATTAAGCAATTTTCTAATCACCTTCTTGTACTGGAGAATGTAGCATGGCACATACTAACACAGCTACTTTTAGTGGAATTGCTGCCCTACCAAGGTATACACATTAAAATGTGAAATATTT